GCAGAATTCCGTAAGCAAACAGTAGCTAATCGAACCCAGCGCCATATGAGACCCACAACACGTGACGACCAAGTGGGGTCTATCCCAGGTGTGCAAGCAGGCTTCAACACTTGAAAGTGAGCTGACGCAACACGTCTGCAAAATTAAAGTGAAAACCCATTAAAATCATTCATGACAAAACAACTCTCGGAAGACCAGCGAACCTTGCAGCAGTGGGGCGCGACTCACACGCTCCTCACGTGACCCGGCGGTCCCACAGGCACGCCGATATTCACAGCCGCACGATGACCACAGCCCCCCTCCAGAGGCCACCCACACATCTGCCACTGGGGGCCACGTCCACAGCTGCGACCAAGGTGACTGAGGACCAACGCCACATGCACGAATTGCAAAACATGGCGAGAAAAAGGAAAGACTCCTTTCAGTACGATGCCATTTGCAAAGATTCTAGAAAAGACAAAGCGGCAGGGACAGAAAGCTGGGGGGTGGGGCTGCCAGGGGCCAGGGGTGGGGCGGGAGGACCCAGGAGACACTGTATGGGAGGCAGACTGTTGCGTATCTTGTGCCACTGTGACCGAGGTAGTGGACTGATTCCAACCACCCGCCTCATCACCCTTGGAACGGGCCTGGTTTACTGCGTAGAAATGGTTGACTAAGCACTAGAGCAGGGGCGGGAACAGAGGGACTGACCCACGCAGCACAGAGGAGCCCCTCGCACATTCTGCTGACGAGGGAAGTGGGAGCTCGAAGAGCACAACAGCTCACCTGATGTTCTAGAACGGGCAAATGCATCCTGAGGGACAGAAGGCAGCTGGGAGGCTGTGTGGGGGGCAGGCGGGTGACCATGCTCTGCTGTCACAGCCCAGACTCAGGGGCCTCTCACACCCATTTCCCGGAGGCACAGAAGTGAGACTTCAGTAACAACCGCAGGAGGAACCCCGGGGTCCTCGGGGTGGAGGGCTACGCGTGAGGTTGCACGACGCGCTTTGTCCTCTACCTGAGACAGGAGACACTGAGGACCGGGGATCCAGGGAGGCCACCCCAGAGGCTCTCGGGGACAAGCCCCAAACCGCAGCTGGAGTGTGCCGCCGGGCCGGCACCTCCCTCGTGCTGCCTTCAAAGGGAGGGAGCCCACCCCGCCTCTGCTTGGGCCCCACCCCTCGCCAGGCCAGGGACAAAAGGCCCCTGCTTCTCCCCAGGCCCTCCCAGTGGTGGGGCTGAGCTCCAGCAGTGTGGACACCCCTGGACAGGCCGGGAAGCCGTGAGAGCTGCTTGGGATTGGGATTCGCAGAACAAACCTCACCTCTCCCCTTCCCTATGAGAGCCCCAAGTGGCAGCTGGGCTGCAGGTGGGAGCGACCCCCGACAGGCAGGGGAGGGGTGGAGGGGTGGACAGCTGCGGGTCGACACAGCACCGAGCTCATGGGTGACAATGCACAGGGCCTGGTCCATGGCAGAGCGCGCACACTCCTTCCGGAGCTCACAGGAGCCACCTGCAGCTTCTGCTCGCAGCGGGTGGAGCCCGGAACAGATGTGCTGCCACGTGCCAGGACCCCATCCCGTGTCTGGTGTCAGGACAATGGGCAGACCCAGGGGAGCCGGCCGGCCCCCAGAGGGAAGCGGGAGCAAGACGGGGCAGGGCCACCGCACATCCCGGGACGGTGCCCACAGGGGTCCCCTCCTGGGAGCAGGTGAAGGTGGAAGTGCCCGGCTCGAGGTGCCTCTGTCTCTGACATCCGCAGGAGCAACATTTGCCCACACCAAGGAGGGGCTGGGCCTGCAGCGGAAGGCGCCACGGGAGCCCTGGCAGCGGGGCAGGGGCACAGAAGGTGGCCCCTCTGGCCAGCCTCACCCCACCTGCAGAGACGGCAGAGCGAGCCCCCTCCCACCACACCCTTGGTCAGCTCACTCTCCCTGGCCCTGAGTGTCACTCCCGGGGGTCCAGGCGCAGCCCATCCTGCCTCAGGGCGACCCCCAGCCAAGATTAAATACTTGTTCAAGGTCTTGTTTGCTGTCTGTCTGTCTGCCTGTCTGGGCCACCACTGCTCACGGCCCGTGGGAACAGACTCCTCACCACACTGGTTTGCCCTCTGTGCCCTGCCCAGCCCTGAACCAACGCCAACCCCCACCACCTTGACGGGACAGCGCCTCGCTCCGCTCCTGGAGCAGGGGCCTCCTGAGCCCCCGAGGAAACCCCGCCCCAAGCCAGGAGCTTTGGAGAGAGGGGAGGGAGCCTGACCCACCCTATCGACACCCCCTGCCCCTACTCAGCACCTTCCTGGTCACTCAGTCCTAAGAGCAACAAATCAGAAACAACCCCAGTGTCCTCGGGGACTAGATAAATCAGCTATGGTGTCTCCGCCCAATGGACGATGGACGAGGAGGCACGGGGACAGAGGCCCTGCGGGAACACAGTGGGACCACCGGGACGGTCAACTAACCTCATCTGTCATGTTTAACCCCTTGATTTCCAAAACAAGAGGCTCACCACACAGGAGCTGCTAATGGTTCTTCACAAGATGGAGAGTGGAGATGGGGGCACCCCTGTGGCGTCCCACACCTTCCTACACGGACGGTGCTGGTCAAGACCCTTGAAGGTCACTCGGGCCCACCTCTCCCTTGACAGGTGGGGAAACAGGCCAGGAAGGAGGGACTCCCACATGCCCTTATATGGCAGGGGTGCACCCTGGAACACACTCCACCAGCTCCAAGACAGGCCTGCCCAGCCCGTGTCCGGGCCCCAGACTGGGGGCAGCAGGCTGCTCAACGGCCCAGGGTGCTGTTAGGATGCCCCCCAACCTGGCCAAGCCAGTGTGCAGAGAGAGCCCGGGGCGTGGGCAGGCAGCCTCTGAGGGTAGGCCCCTCTCTCTGCCTGCTTGCCCCCACGGCCCCCTCCCCCACAACCCTCTTCCCAGCTCACCCGGGGCCCAGTGATGGCAGCGACGTCACTGCCAATAACCTAGATTTTAACCAAGAAATCACACACCCCCCTCCCTGCCCCACTTATGGTCTCACCGAGGAGAAAACCCAGACTGTAGCACCCCAAGCCGGCCCCAAGCCCTGCCCGCCCGTGCCCACTGTCCTCTCCCATTTCCCATCCTCCCTCCAACACCCCCAGAAGGGGGTAAGGGGCGCTGATGGATGGGTGACCCCCTGCAGGCACACGGCCCTGGGCCAGGCCTATGCCCCTGGCATCTTGTCTGAGAGCTGGGGGGTCGGGGTGGGGGGCTGGTGAGAAAGCTGGGTCACGGTCAAGGCAGAGGGGCAGCCCCGGGCAGCTCGGCCTCCAACCCCTACCCTGGCCTTCCCATGGCCACTGTCCCATTGGCTCCTTGGAAAACCCAAGGACAGACAGGCCACTGTCCAGGTGAGGAGAGGGCCCCACACTCGTCCGGCTAGACAGGCAGGTGTACTCAGATGGGCTAAGGCATTGTACCTGCACCCAGCAATCCCAACACCTCATCCTATTTCTCAGCATCCCACTCCTGCCAAGGCTCATGGCCACATTGGATGGAGACGTCTGGAGGCTGGGGTCCTCTCCCAGCTCCGGTGTCCCACTGTGGGCCACTGGTGGACAGCCCCCGCCCCTGGACCCTTGGCAGATTCCAGCTCCCTCTGGCTGGGTCTGGGGCTCCACATGGCCCTTCCCCGGGTCCCGAGGTGGCCGTCAGCAGTGGGCAGAGGAAACTCCACACAGGGCACGTCCCCAGAGGCTCCCTCTAAGGCCCAAGCCCAGTGGCCCTCTGAAGGGCCGAGCCAGAGCCTGCAGGTTTCCTGGTATCAGGACACCAAGCCCTTCCCTCTGCCACTCCAAGAAGAACCAAGTCCAGATCAACGTGGCCTTCATGCTCGTGTCCTGTGCAAGTCACTCAATATGACCACGTACATTCAAATAATGAGCTCTAGGTAAACATCATTCACTCACAGCCCCTGAGGAGGGCAGGCGGGCGCCCAGGCAGAGCCTCCCTGCTCCCCCCGGCTTGGCCACACCATCCAGTCCTTGGCTGCTCGCGGGGAAGTGGCCATCCCAAGGGCCCCAGCTGGTCAGATCGACCAGTACCGGCCTAGAGGTGGAGGAGTAGATGGGGGGGCAGCATCTGCCCCACCAGGGCACCAGGACACAGGGGAACAGAGGGCAGGAAAGAGTCACCACACTGCCCCTCGGGGCCCCAGTTCTGGGACGTCACTTCCCGCTAGCACCATGTGTCCAGAGCCAGTGCACTGGGCATAGGCCCTGCATGCAGATGAGCAGGCAGCGGGCCCAGGCGCACAGCCAGTTTTCGGGGAATACGGACGGCAGGTGGACACCCGATCTGGGGCCCCAACTACTGGACCCTCTACCTAGCAGACCCTGAATGGTCTCCAGGGACTGGGACGCAATCTGTAACACCATGCTAAGTGGGGGCATCTCAGGTGTGCAGGCCCCCAGTGGGGGACCCCCCACAAATAATGGGGGGCAGCTCATTCAGTTCAACAAGCACCTTCCGGCCTGTCCCTCAGTGCTGGACCCAGGGAGGTGGTGGCACGTGAGCCAGGTACGGGGGAGTCTCTGGCCTCACTGACAGTCACAGGGAAGGGCTGAGGTCAAAGGTCAGGCAGACCGGGCCACACCAGGTCGCTAAGGTCTTGAGCAGGTGGGTTGCCTACTACCCTGTGAGCCCTCGGGCAGGTCCCTGGGCCACCGAGGCCCTCAGTGTCCTCTGTGACCCATGCAAGAGCGGGCCCCGTCCCACAGGCTGCAGCTTCCCGGGGGGCGGGTTCACCCAGCGTTAAGTGTCCGGTCCTCAGCCAAGGCCCTGCCCCCCTAGCTCAGCAAGCCTAGGTTGGGGACCGTCCCCTGCACTCCCTGGCACAGCGGCCTCCCCGAGCGGCCACGGCCAGGCTGCCCGTGCCACGGGGCCGAGGTCAGGCTCGCCTCGGTACCCACGGGGCCTGGAGGCGCGCCCACACACTGGCGGGTGGCGCGGTCGGGGCACGGGGCCAGCCCCCACCGCGCGTTACCTGCATAGCTGCCGGTGGCCTTGATGTACATCTGGCCATACTGCTCCTCCACCATGGTGTCGTAGGCCTCGTCATCCTCCTCGTCCTCCTCGTTGTGGTAAGACGTGGGGCTGTCGGTGGTGGGCAGGCTGCTGGCCCCCGGACTGGTCCGCTCCCCCTGGGAGTAGGGCACCTGCTGGATGCTGGGGATGAGGGTGGCCAGGCTGGGCACCCCGTAGTAGGAGACCCGGGGCAGCTTGAGAGGGGCTGCGCCCGCCACCGTGGCGCCCGCCACCGCTGTGCCATCCCGGGGCCCCGTCTCCAGCGGGCGCTTGGGGGCCAGGCCCGGGCCGGCGGCCGGCGGCAGCTCCATGGCTTCATGCTTCACACGGGTCAGCAGTGGGATGGGCACGGAGGGGGACACGACGTAGGGGGGGGCTGCGGGGGCGGCCGGCTGCAGCTGGGTGCAGGGGCTCTGGGGCTCAGAGCTGGCGTCCTCGATCATGGCGGTCTGCGAGTCACAGTGGGGCGAGCTCACCTTGAACATGAGGTCTGTGCCGCGCTCCACGATGTGCTGGATCTGCAGGAAGCCGGCCGTGTACATGACCACGAGCTGCTCGCTGGCCGCCATGGTCAGCCTGCCCGTGTAGCAGAAGGACAGGATCTGCTGGAAGCAGGCAGGCGGCACGGTGCCCGGCAGCTCGAAGGCGCTCTTACTGTTGCCGCTGAACAGGTCGCGGAAGTACAGGCTGCTGGCGGCCAGGACGGCCCGGTGGGCCTTGAAAGCCTGGCCTTTGACCACAATGGACACATCACAGTAGAGGCCCAGCAGGCGCTGCTCATTGAGGCAGCCGAGCACAGTGTTCCCGAAGTTGGGGATCTCGATGTGCAGCATCTGCGACATGGCGGGCAGGCGCTAGAGGGCGGGCCTCAGACTCAGCGCGGGAGCGCCCGAGGGGGGCACATCTGTGGGGAGAGAGGGCACGGGGACACCTGGTCAGGCCCCCAGACGCCAGGGCCCACCACCAAGGACGTGCAAACGTGCTCTGCCCCAGCTCGCCCGTGCCCTCCTCCACCCCTCCTCCACGCGGTGCCCCCCCCCCGCCCTCCAGCGGGACCCCCTCCAGCCGAGGGGCCCAGGGGAGGTCCTGGGGCCAAGCTCCTCACGGCGGGAGGCGGGACCCTGCTGGGCTCAGAGCTGCACAGCCGCATTCCAGCCAGGGGCATGCCCCCCACACCTCGTGCAGCTCCCAGAGCCCACCCCCAGGAGAGTGCCGGAGCCCTCGGGGCAGGGACGCCCCGTCTTAGCAGACACCGGGAACAGAAATGGAGGCCTGCACTCTGGGAGGATGGGGAGGACAGAGGACAGAACACGGAACAGGGCACCACCACCCGCGGCGGCTGCCAGGGGTGAGGGTGGCGGCGGCTGGGAGGGGTGAGGGTGGCGGGCCGCGTCTGCAAACTCTTCTCCCCAAGAAAAAGTTAGCAGCAAAGGAGCCCCTCCCAGCCCTTCCCCTGAGGGGGCCGGAACCCAGAGCGAGCGAACGGGTCTTGCAAGGGGGTCTTCTGGTTTCTGGTTTGTTTTTCTTCTTTTCCCTCGTAGCACTAGCTGCACGGAGGGCCCACACGGGGGGAGTCCCGCCCCAGTGGCTGAAGAGGAGGGCCGGGGTGGGGGCGCCCAGGGCAGTGAGCCGAGTTAGCGGAAGCTCGAAGTCAGGCGCCCCCCCCCACTGCCCCTCCCCCGGGACGGGCTCCCCAGGCCACCGGCAGGGACCCGGCCAGACCAGCAGCTGGGAGCCTGGCGCAGCCCCACCTGCCCGCCCTCCCAGTGCCCTGGCTCCCCACACTGGCCAATCCCTGCTGGCTCGGTCCCAGCCCAGGTGACTAAAGGGGTCAGGGGGAGACGGGGCGGGGGGGGGGGGGGACCGGCAAGGGCTTGGGATGCCGCTCCCTCTGCCGCCACCGGGCGCCCTAGGGGCTGGGGGACGGAGCTCCAGCGAGGTTGATCTGATGCCCGGTTCACAGAGGGGTGGGGGCTGGGGACGGCCGGGCGGAGAAGGCGCCGGCCCAACTCCGCACAGCGGCGCCCGCACAAAGGGCTGCTCTGTCCCGTGGGAGGAAAGTGCAGGCGGCCGCAGAGGCGCCGGGTGGCCGGGGAGGGAGGGCGGAGCGCCTGGACCCCGGCGACAGGAGTTGGGCAGATGGGTGGCCGCTGGGGGAGGGCCCGCAGTGCCCCCGCTGCGGAGAAGTTGCCGGGCCGGCCGTGGCACTGGCCCGCAGGGGAGACCTACCTTTGGCGGCTGCCGCCGGTGGCCCGGCACTGCCCGCTCAGCCTGGCAGGGGCAGGCTCGCCGGCTGCTCCGGGAATGCAGCAAACGGAGCGCGAGCCCTTGGGGTGGGGAGGGCGCGAGGAGCCGGGGGAGAGGAGGAGGAGGAGGAGGAGGAGGAGGAGGAGGAGGAGGAGGAGGAGGGCAGAGAGTCTCCGCGCTGGGCTCCGCGGCCGCAGCTCAGCTGCACCCAGCCCGGCTCTCCGGGGCAGCGCACAGCATCTAAATGAAGAGGCCGGATGCAGACGGACATTCAGGCAGCTCTCGGGAATGAATAGCCGCCTTTGATTTCGGAGCCCAAGTAAATGCCAGCTCCAGCCCCAGCTTTAAAAACAGTGGAGTGCCAGTGCCAGAGGAATGCACGGCTCCGGGTGTTGGTACAAGACAGACTTTGATGACTCACCGCAATGCAAACAAAGATGGCAGAAATACTGTACTGTACGTGGGGAAACGCTCCGTGGTGCCACGGCAACTGAGCGCCCGAGATTTATGGTGCAGCTCTGCATGTGAATTACCCAGTAAACTGCCGCTCTGCCATCCCGTAGAGCCCGAGCGTCAAAGCATTTAAACTATTCCAAACAGTCTGCAGGGCTGGCAGGGCCACCCAACTCCTCCAGGGCGGGCGGGGGGCCAGGGCACAGGGGGGCACGGGGGAAGGGGCTGGGGGAAAAGGGGGACAGGAGGATAAGGGGACGGGGGACAAAGGGATGGGGGACAAGTTGGGTAGGGGAACAAGGGGGTGGAGGGACGGGAGAAGAGGAGACAAGGGCAGGGGACAGGGGGATGGGAGACAAGGGGGAGGAGAGGACTGGGGGGACAAGGAGAGCAGGGGGATGGGGACAAGGGGGATGGGAGGGGACAAGGGGAGCAAGGGGCAGGAGGATGGGGTGGGAAGGACAAAGGGGATGGTGGGCATAGGGGGGATAAGGGGGATGGCGGGTATGGGGGTTGGGGAAATGGGGGACAAGGAGGATGGAAAGAGACGGGGGTGGACAAGGAGATGAGGGGACAGGGGGATAAGGGGGACAAGAGGGTATGGGGGATGAGGGGGTGGGGCAGACGGGGTAAGAGCTACATGAGAGTGGGGAGCCCAGCAGTGGGGGGCAGGAGGGGTGATGAGAAAAGAAGCATGAGAAGATGAGAAAAGGGGTGAAGAAAAAGAAGTGGGAGAGGAGGCCCAGGGCCCCGCAGCGCCCCATTCCCCGTCCACACTTCTCCCTGGGTCCCCAGAGCAATCAGGCCCAATGAGCACAGTCCCGCACCCCATCCCACTTGCCCAGGGAAGTCACCCTGTCCCCCAACCCCCGACGCGGGTCTTGTCAAGAACAACTTTGTGCGTGCAGCTGGGCCAGGCCCGGGTGGACGCACCCAGCAGCCCCGACGGACCCATCCCCACAGGCGGGCAGCCAAGTCACCACCCGTGATGGTGACGGGAGGAAGGGGGCCAGGCTGCCGCGCGGGGCCCGCCGCATCCCGCCGCATCCCGCCGCCCCTGGGCCTCTCTCGGGAGGGGAGGCTGTGCTGTGCATGCTGCCTGTCCTGCTCTAGGCTCACACTGCCTGTGGCCCGCCCAGCCTCGGTTTCCCCTCTTGCCACCAACTGTGGACCTGGGAAGACCTCAGACCCCTGCAGAGAGGCAGGGGGTCGAGACTGGCAGGGTCGGAGGTCCAGTCCCCTGCAGCCCCCCCATACAGGTGGCCACCACCCTGACAACTAACCCTGGTGGCTGGAGCGGGGAGGGTCTGGGGGGGCCAGGCAGCAGCCCTCCCACCAGCAAGTGGCATCCAGAGAAAGAAAGGGCCATCTGGCACCTCCCCGTTCCCACGGCGGCTCGGCTTCCGAGAGCAGATAAAACACTGCGGAAGGAACGGAGCAGGAAGAAACCCAGGTGTAGGGAAGCGCCCGCCGGGCAGCCGGCAGCAGGGGCTCCTCCAGGGGCAGCTCTGCACCTCCTGCAGGGGGCTGAGGACTACCCTCTGGGGGGTGACAAGCCCTCTGGGTGCAGGTTGACAGAACTGGTCCCCGCTCGCTGCTCTGAGGATGCAGGGGCCGGCCAGGGGACACGGGGGCCTGCCCCTCAGCCCCCCAAAGCCCCGGTGATGCAGTGAGGCCAGACCTCAGCCCTCCCTCACCTCCAGCTGCATGAGGCAAGTCCAGTGGGCAAACGGGCTTCAGGCCACACGCCCCTCACAGCCAGGTCCCCACTGCCCTTAGGAAGGTCCTGGGGCCACGGTCAGCCATTGCCTGGGGGACGGCCATTCGGCTGCCCTGAGCAGCAGCTCCGAGGGGGCAGCCTTGCCAGCTCACCTTTATCCAGACCCAGAAAGACCGACCCAGGGAAGCCCCCACCAGAAGCCCCGTCAGGCCCCCAGACTGGGGATGGTCTCCTTTTCTTGGGGCGCAGGAGAAGCCCAATGGCCTCAAGATGAGGGAGCTGAAGCCTTGGGGTGGGGGCAGGGGACACAGCCCCCACATGCCACGCAGCCACAAAGGCAGGCAGACTAGGCCACAGGCAGGGCGAAATGGGGAAACAGAGGCCAAAGCCTGGTGGAACTGTGCTGGGGAGGGAAGGGGAGAGCAGGGCCAACCTTGGCCTGGGTGTAGGACTCTGCCCCCCGGGCCCCAGTACACACAGCCTGCACTCCCTGGGACAGACCTGCCCACTTCAGGACGCTGCCTCTTTGTCACCTCCTCCGAGAAGCCTGCCAGGTGCCACTCTTGAGCTGAACAAGGGCAGGGTGGGTCTGCCCAATGTCTGCTGGGCATTTAGGCAAATGCTGGGCACGCCAGGGAGGGCTGCAAGAGTGGGGCTGTGCTGGCCGGTGACAGTGCATTGGAGAGGGGCCCCCAAATGGCCCCTTCACAGACCCACAGCACCTACTGCCAGGAGTCTCCCAGAAAGCCAGGCAGGCTCCCCTGGGCCAGACGAGGGCTCTGGTGCTGAGAGGGGGTGATCCAGGCTGGCGGGGGTGGGCAGAGGCCAGCAACGCTGCACCGGGCCCAGTTCCCAGAGGGCCCCAATTGCCTGGGGCTGGGCAGGGCAGTGGCCAGGTCCCAAACTGAGAGCAGGGGACAGCATGAGGCCCTCAGAGCCCGTCCCTTCAGAAAGCAGGCCCTGCCTGGTCGGCTGGGTGGGAATCCTGGGTCCCAGCAGGCCAACACGCCCCCCCACCCCATGCCAGCCCCGCCCCGACTACTTTGTGTCCACGTCCTGTGGCCTCAGGCAGGTGGCACCACATCTGGGATGCTCATCTGTCAAGGAGGGTCGGGTTTACCCTGGACGGTCACCGCAGGGTCGAGGGCAATGGCATTCGTCAGGCACTCGGCTCAAGCCTGGCACGATGCCTTGGTAAACGGCACCACGAGGACGCCTACCTGCCGTGACCTGCACGGGAGGCGGTGGTCAGGTGGGTGTCTCCCTCCGCCCCCCTCCCCCGCCCGTCGCGGCCAGTGCCTGCGCCTCAGGGTTGCAGGCCAGGCTGCATGCCCAGAGAGGGACCATTATTCCCCTGTTAGGTGATGAGGCTGTCTGGTCCCCGGGGAGAGGGGACAGCCGGGCTGCTGCCCCTGTGTCCTCAAGCCACCTGCACGGGAGGAGCTCCTGCCCCACAGCCCAGCCCCTGGCAGCCCAGGGGTGGGGGGGGTTAGATTGCTTTCTTAGAAGCCTTGGCTGGGACGCGAACAAAGCTGGACTTCAGGAGGAAAGAATAAAATAAAGGCTTGGTTTACATGCCCAGAGCCATGAAATTAGGACAGGCCTCGGGCCGACCCTCGCACGGTGGCCAGACAGGAGGGCCCCAGGACCTGAGCGGGCTGAGGGCAGCGGGGACACCCCCTCACCTTTCCCTGTGCGGCAGGGCCCAGCCCCACAAGAACACCTTTCCCCTTCTATGCCTCGGTTTCCCCATCTCCCAGCTTCCCGAGCAACACCCTTTGGTTCGCCCCACCCCACAGCAACAGTCGCCGGCCCAGTGGCGTCTGGAAGGTTCTGAAGAGCCAGGAGGACTATCAGAGATCTCTCCATTCATTCTGGCCATCCTCAAAGCCACTGCACCACGGAACCCTCCCCCCTCATAATGCCCTTCAGAATGGAACCCACTTTGGGAAACCCCAAAGCCAGAGTCCAGCCCCTGGAGCTGCGCCAGCCTCAGGGGGCCCCCACCCCAGACTCACTCCAAGACCTCCCCCAGAATGAGAAAACATGAGTAGTGTGTGTGTGTGGGGGGGTGTCTCTTCTCTGCAGACCCCTCCCTCAGGGAGAGCTAGGATCTAGGACCTGGGGTTACGGGTTGTCAACCAAAGCTCCTCCCAGCCCCCCAAGGGCAGTGCTGCCTGTAGGTGGATGAGGGAAGGAGCGCCATGACAAGGGGGTGGGAGTACTGGCCCCAAGAGCTGCAGACATGCACCCACACAGGGCCCAAGGGCCTAGGCAGCATGCAAGTGGGGCACGGATTCTCGGGGTGCAGCCAGGCCACGGCCGGCCACACTGGGCTCTAACAGGTACCAGGAGCACACCAAGGACTTCCCTTCGGGGCCCAGAGGACCAGAGAAGGATGGGCAGTCCAAGAGGAGGGGCCTCCTTCCCAGGACCCCACCCAGACACGTCTCCAAGGTCTGCAGGTCCCGGCCAGACATCCTCAGAAGCCCTGCCAGGACCCCAGCCCCGCCACTCCTCATTCTCCCATACCCGCCCAACCCCCACCCCCAGATCCCAGGGAGCCTCCTTTGGCAGAGGAATGCAGCGTTTAACTTCTGCAGGGTCACCACCAGCAAGGGAAGGAGAGGCGAGGTAACTGAAATTAAATACAATTACTGTGCAGGATTTAATTTTTCCAATCTAATAAGAGGCCCGGGCCTGAGCAAACACACAGCTAGTTCACCGCGGCAGGCAGGGAGGGAGGCAGGCGCACCAGGAAAAAAGGAGCCCCTTCTGCCTCCCTGCCTCTCCTGCCCGGAGGCCAAAACCCATCCTGGGGGCTGCCCCCGCCAGCCTGGGAGAAGCCAGCCTGGCCACAGGGACACCCCCTAAAAGTCAAGGTGCTCGGGGGTCCAGGGCCCGGAGGGAGGCGAGGTACCCTGTGAGTCAGCACGCACACAGTGAGCCGTCAGGGCTGCTAAGAGAGGGTGAGGAGGGGTCGGTCGGCAGGGAGGGAGGCCCCCTTTGGACCAGGGACAGGGCAGGCTCCAGTTATGGGGAGCAGAAGCTCACTTCCATCCCCAACCCCAGTTAATGCTCTGGCTCTGCTCCCGTGAGGGGGCCAGGGAGGGAGGCGGGCCCTTCAAGGGTAGAGGAGCCGGTTCTCAGCATGGGGGCCTGGGCCGCTCAGAGCGGGCCAGGTCCCCTGGGCGCCGGGCGAGGCACCAACCAACTTGGTCCTGAGGTCTGCATTAAACTTTTAATACATCCTAAAACAAGGCCGAGCAGCCACGGGCTCGCTGCTAATGGAAGGGCCAGGGTGAGCAGAAGCAGGGCTCCAGGGCGGGGTCTCTGCTGCCAGGAGCCCCTCCACCAAGTCCCCAACGTGCAGCCCCCACCCCTACTGTGCGCCTGCGTCCCAGCCCCT